TTCTCAATCGTGTCGGGGGAACTTATAGATCAAACTCGATAGGGATACAATGCCTAGTTCACAAGCGATCCAAGAGAAACGTGCTCACCACCAAGTCATAGTCATGCAAACTTCTCAGAGACTCCAAGTCTTGAAGAACCTTTGGATTCACAAGAGATGCCTCTTCCGGTGAAGGGGAAGACCTAACCTCGTCCACCCTTGGACTATCCGAGGACGGCGCATAAAAATTAACAGCCAAAGGATTAGGTAGAACTTGTACGAGAAAAGAAAGACATCCCGACCTAAGGCAGAATGATAGGAAATATATTAACGATCAATTATCATCCGACACATAATCATCATGTAGAAACTATCACAGAAGAAAACAGTTCAAGTCACTCTCTACTAGCAAGCTCTCGTGGACAACAATCCAAGGCACGTCGTTCAAGATTGTCTCCCCCTTGCTACCCATATAGATAAAACGCCAAGAGGAAGACATTAGGGTAGTTACATGTTATCCCCTCTAAAGCTATGTATAAAAACTAACCCCTAATGTTGTATCGAGGAGCTTTCTTTTGGTGTAAAACTCATATCTAAAAAGGACCTTGATAACTAACTTTAGTGTCGGAAGGACTGAGTCAAGAAATTTCTCCCAACATCGATCTTAGTACATATGACATCTCGAGAGCTCGACACTTCTACCACGAAACTAACTTGGAAGGGACATTCTTACACCCTCGAGTTTAGACCATGTCAGGTTAACTTAGACGTCCATGACGATTTCCCATAACAACTCTCTAAAATAATGTAAATCCATCTAGTACTTATAAATCCATTGAAATCATTATGTGAGACTAAACCCAAATATTTATAATAATTGATGGATGAAACGTGAGAAGCGGATTCGACTTTGATTTATGAAAGAGCAAGGAAGCGGACAGTATACATATCCAAATAATCCGACCATGAAAATTGTATCCAACCCCAGACCGTTTCGTTTAATCTTGCCTTCTTAAAAACCCCTATGTCTTCAAATAAAAGAAATCCTTATCTCCATTCTTATTTCTGGTTAGGGTTTTCCATTGAAATCAGCAATTTGTCAGCTTGAGCAGTGTTAACAATGCACTTGCAGTTGTCCCAAGCAGCATAACACAGTCATAATGTAAGTCTACACCGCACAACTCTTTTAACTCTTCACTGATCATAGATGGACAATTAAGACATGCAATTAGCTAAAAATTCGATGCAGTAATGTCCAGATACAATAATTCAAGCTTCACACAAAAAACAGCATCTTATTTAGTGCATAGTTTGTATGTATCTAGTTGGGACAAGCCAAGTATTCACTTACTGATGAGCTGAAATCAGACTAGTGTTTTCCCATCTCCCTCAATATCCCAACAACAATTCTGGAAAATGACCCACGGCTTTGTGGTGCCCATGAAGTCACTGAGGAGCCAGAAACAGCAACAACGAAAGCAAGGCAACAAAGGCACACGAATTGTTGTTGCAAGAATTTCTTGACAGGTTACATGTTAACCTGAAACCAGCTTCACCACAATAATGATCGCGTTGAGAATTATCAGTGGAACTCGAAGATACTGGGTTGCATAGATGAGCCCAATTAGCTGCCCCTTCAATGACTTGGCTCTGGCACCTCCTGAAACTTCATTGAAGCTCCAACCCTTAGGAGCAAGGAACCTATCCTCGTTCAGTATTGCCAATGCATTTGCAAGGAGCAAAAGTCCCTCGAGTAACGTCCAGAGGCCCATGCCTGAAAATACACATTAGTCTGCATACAAAACCAGCATCCAGACAATTCAATACTCAAAAAGGTATGTTGGACCTATATTTATTCCTTAACATAGAAAAGAAGGAAAGCAACACAATCCTTCACAGAAAATTGGGTGAACATTTGATTACTACATCACGCATCAAAAAATAATCATCAGCTGAATACCATTTCCCAATGGATGGCAAGTATAACCAACATGACGCCTTAATTAAGAACTATATTATGCATTCCATATTCTAGGAATCTAGAAATCAAACATGTTCAAGCATATAAGAACCATAAACTCAATAACATACAAATGAATTAAAATTGAACTCCAAGGGAAACTAGTTCCAACCAAGAATGGGAATCTACATTGCAGTTAGTAGGCTAATGAGAGCAAATGCTGGGAAGCACGGACACATCAACTTGGTGGACGCATCCATGTCGAACACAAATATGTCACCAACATGGTCAGACACGTCTTTTTATTTATTTATTATTTTTTATTTGGGACATAGCGTTTCCGTGTCGGATGCTTCTCCCGTGTCATTCCCCCTTCCTGGCGTGACGCTCACGTGCGATGCTTTGTTGCATAATCTTCATGCGATGGAGGGAAGCATGGAATTGAGGGAAATCAAGCCCACCTGCATCCACCGTCCTCAGGAAGGCTAGAACCATCGTCGCACACACCATGACCTATCAACGACCACACCCTCATCAACAACCTAACCCTCGTCGATGACTTAACTAGCACCCTTCGCATGACCTATGCGATCGCCCCCTTAGCCACCCTCGTCGGTGACTTCACCAGCAGCCACATGGCCACACCCTCGGCGACCCGTCGATGACTTCACCAGCACCCATCAGGCGGCCCTATCCAATCGCGCCCTTGGCGGCCTCGCTCATGAGTTTCCATCGACGTCCCTCTCATTGATCCATTGCCTCGCTCATACGCAAACAATAAACCCGTGACAATCACATAAAGCCTTCTCAAGGCTTTTTGTTTCTATTTAGCATTTTTTAAGGAATTGATGACCTTTTATATTCCCTAAATTACAATGTCACATAACTATATTGATGGTAAATTATGTTATTGTCTCTTATTAGTAATAAGTCAGGTACATGGTATGCAATTTCGAATGGTACCGCCCGATACGGACGGTACGTACCAATCCGACGATATACCGGTACGCGGACCGCTAACGTGCTACAGTGCGATAGTGTTACACTATAGCAGTGCTACAGTGCTGCAATAGAGAGAAAGAAATATTTAAAATTAGGTGTACTGCTCGATATGTCCTGACATACCGCTCGGTATGCCCTGGTATACCACTCGATACACGGTACCATACCGTACCGAGCTAACCTCGAAACACCGGTACGGTACGGTATTGCATACCTTGATTAGGTATAAAATTTATAACAAAAGTAAAGTAAGTTATGTAGATAATGCCAAATGTGCCATAAATTTTAAATATAAATATCATAAAACTCATATTAATCAAATATTTTATATATATTAAAAATACGCATGTCCTTGCCGTCTCCGTATCCTAATTTTTTAAAGAAAATGACATATCGTTGTGTCTGTGTCGTGTCCATGTCCTGTGTCTGTATCTATGTTTCTTAGAGCAAATGATGATTTTATCTAGACATCAGCACACAAAATTATCTCAAAAAAACCAAAAAATTGAACACGAGACCACAATATGACTCCCGATAGCATTTAATATCAATAAAAGTTCGACCATAAACAAAAATATCCACACAAAAAAAAGGACGAGAACACGACTAATGGCATGTTAAACAACAAGATACTAACAGTTACTGTATTCTATTTACAAATTAATTAAGCTGATAAATACAGAACCAGTGATACCTATCATAGAGTTGAATGTGGAACATCAATAGGCTATATAAATGTCAAATTCTAGCATGGTTGTCAACTAGAATAAAAAGCTTCTCAGAAAAGGAAAAGAGAATATGTCATTGGTCAACCTTAGTTCAATGCAATGCAATGTAATTCCCTAACCAAAAAAAACGAAGATAGTATAAATCAGAGTCTAAAACCCCTTGCAGCCTTTCTTGATTAATGCAATGCAATTCCATGAGTTGTCGAAAGCTTAGAACAAAATATTAGGTTTTCCTAAGGAGAGACTGAAAAAAGAAAATTGCATATTTAAGTGTAGATTTGGAAAAGAAGAAAAAATGGCTTTCAGTTTCTGGCACTTTATTATAGAAAAAGCCATTAATTATCATAAAATGATGAAAAAGAACTCATATGTTCATATTCTATCGCATAATGCCCTATTTCTATTTGTTCCTTTTTTTTCATGATAAAAAGAGAAGAGATAAAAAACATTGTTTAAAACAATGTTTTACGGCTGAACCACATCACTCTAAAACAAACAAAATGAACTTCGAATTTCCGAAAATGTATGATCTGTAGAACTAAAAAAAATGTTGCCTATATGTTGATTGTCTCAATTTGAGACCATGAAAAATCAAACCCTAGCTGATTGCCTGTATCTAGATCGTAACGCCGTCAAAATTTGGGAAGAAGGGATCGGAAGTGAAGGAGAAGGAACTGGGAGGGCTGGTCATCACGGAGACAATGGAGAGGAGAGAAGAGAGCACCTGAGGGAGGCAGCTGGGCAGCGACGGCTGGATCTCGACGGCGACAACCACAGCGGCAGGCTTGAGTGAACTGGAAGGCGGCGAGCGATGACCGACTCACTGGAAGTCGCCGGCGGCAGCGGGGCTTTCTTCGCTGGGAATATCGAGCGGCTGGGAAAAGGTCGCCTGTTTTTCCTCCACAGAAACCAACACAGCAATGAAAAGCACATCGAAAGCAACGAACACCGATCGAAAAAATGAGCGCGATCGCAGTCGATCTAATCCCACGGGAATCGAGAAACAAAAGAGGGTCAAAGATCAGTACCTGGGAGCCTAGGGTTTGGTGATTCGACGAGACCGTCCTCTCTCGATCGAAAAGGAAGAGGCCGAACGCAGGTTCTGGAGACTAAAGAGAGGGCGCGGATAGACCCGGTCATTTGACAGACCGGTCGGATCGGGTTGGACGGTTCTAATAGCCCCGGCCCGTTTAACTCGACCCACGAGGATCGTGTGCATCGCACGTGCATCGGAGTTATACTACAGTCCTATTTAAGTAACAACAAATTAGAATTATTTATTAATATTATTCAAGGAAAAATATATCATAAAATAATCTGTAAGTCGTTTTATTTATTATATATTTACTAATACATTTTTCATTAAAAAAATGAAGAGTGAGTCTCTATTTATAGACTTCACTCACAAAAATAAATAATGAATTATAAGAAAATCATACAAATTTTTATTTTTTTGCAAATTAATTAATCAAGTCTTTGGAAGACTTAAAACATATTTAATGTAGATGATTACGTGACACAAACATGCAGTCCACTAATATGCATTAGCCAACTTAGTATTCACATATGGACAAATATGCAACCCGTTTATAAATGGTAATGCCACTTTCCCTGAAGCTTCACTGCAAGAGCACGCTGCAACTAATCCTGGAGAACAGAAGATGACTTCAATTCTTCCTGAAATTTCATCCTCAATCACTTCTTTGTACAGCTCAGAAGAAGAAACAATGCAAAGAAGAGGAGAAGAAGAAGAACAAAACTTGTTTCAGCACAAGCTGATCTCCATGAACTTAACGAAGTCGATCAGATCAATCCTTCCGTCGCGATTTCGATCATGAGCTGCGATCATCCTCCGGCATGCATCTAAATCCGACGCTTCTGCGATCCCGAGCTTGGCGAGAACCGTCTGCAGCTCCACCGCGTCGATGAACCCATCGCCGTTCTCATCGAAAACAGAGAAGGCCTGTTTCAACTCCTCCAGACTCGGCTCCTCGTCTGCGAACAGATCAGGGAGGTGGTCGAAGTCCTCCATCTTCTCCTGGAGCTGCTGCTCCCCTAAACCCATTCTTCCCAGAATAATCTGCACGTCTTCGATCCGGAGATTGCAGTCACCTCCTCTTGCTTCACCTGCTGCACTGCTCAGGGGTTGTTGCTCGTCGGGAACCGCTGATAAGCATGCGCAGCAAGCAACGTAGGTGTGCAGGAAGGACATTGATCTGAGGGACAAGTTCTGAATTGCCACCATGATCGAGCTGAGCAGTACGTGAAGGAAGAGCAATACAACTACTGGTTCTGCCAAGTACACGGGCTTCTCCATCTCTTCCTGGTTGCTTGGGACGCAGAAAGAGAGGGGAGGATGGCGAAAGCGGGAGATCGCCCTCTCTCTCTCTCTCTCTCTCTCTCTCTCTCTCTCTCTCTCTCTCTCTCTTCTTCTTGTGAGGGAACGATGGAGTTGGAACTTTATAGGAGAGAAGACAACAAGAGTTTAGAACCAGACGTGGTCGCAGGAAGGAGCAAGTTCATGTTGGCCATTGACTCGCAGGAACTTTCCCATGAAACACAATGAAATGCAGGGCCGGCTTTTCCTTGGCTTATATTCTTCTCCCTTTTTATCTTCCTCGTCTTCTTTGATGATGGCCAACAACTGTTGACAATTCTGAGCTGGTACTTTCCCTATCTATCTATCTTTGCTGTAGAAAATTAGTGGAAAAGAACTTAAAAGTAATGATGTCAACAAGGCTGAAGTTGAGGTGTGGAAATTGCGGTGGCAGCAACTGCACGTCTCGACGAGGGCATTGGAAAGAAATGGGGTGGAAATTGGTGTGAAGGTGGCTTGTGCTTTCATGGTGATGGGAGGATAACAATTTGACTTCCTCTCTGCCAGTTGAGGAGCTGATATAATTGGTATACAAACCCTTGGTCATTGTTTAATTGTGTATTTAGGTTCAAGGAGGTATTCTGGACAACACAGGATTTAATACTAACATGCATGTAATCAGATGAACTCTGGGTCACACACTGTGGGGCAGATCATGGCCTCCGGTATAGGGAGATCTTAGTGACTTATAATAAACATGAGCAACGAAAACTTCTGCAACTTTTTGTTCATGTGGAAAATGGAAGCTCTATGTAAGAAGAAGAGGAAATTCTTCACCTGATCAAAGCATCAATAATAATAAATATGAGGGATTAGTAGGTTACTTTCAATGTGTTTCTTCCATCAAGTCAGTCATTAGATGCTTCAAATACATCTGACATGTATGCTAATTGTGATATTTCAACAGACAAAACATAAACAAAAAGTTTCAACATCAAAAAACAAGCTTTTCTAAAGGGAACACTCGGTTTGCATATCCGTCCAAACAAAAGGTCACCGGCTTGGAACAGTGTCATTTAAGAAGAGATCTTGCCAAGTGCTCACGAGCTGTGGCTAGGGCTTGAGTTATAGTCTGCAAAGGCAGAAGATAGGATATTGCATTTAATGAAAATGAGCAATATATATATATATATATATATATATATATATATATATATATTAGTATTAGTAGTAGTT